TCTGTCTGAATGCCTGAAGGCCAGAAGAGGGCGACAGACCTCTTTACAGATGGTTGTGAGCCACCATGTGGTTGCTGGGAATTGAACTCAGGACCTTTGGAAGAGCAGGCAATGCTCTTAACCACTGAGCCATCTCTCCAGCCCACAGATACTTTCTGAACTGCATGCGTGTGTCTGTTTGTGTGCATATATCTATATCTATATGTGTGTATATATGTACACATGTACATGCTCATACACTATAGCACAAACTCACTCACATGCATACATGATAAGTATAGCTAAATTATTTAAAAAACATAATGGGGCCTAAATATCTTTTCTGTTATTTCCAACCTAGCAATGTTACATGCAAGTATAAAGCACAATGTAATACATCAGTTATGACAAAGACTTGGAACTGAGTTGCCATGCATTAGGTAATTGTGTTCAGAGTATGGATTTTGGTCTAGTTATATCTCACACTTTTAGAAAAGTATCTCATAAGTATGCATTTGGGTTACTTTGTTTATATTGATATAGTAATAGACTAGGAAGTAACATGCTTCTCCTTCATCCGCACTGTTGAAGTGAATAACTTTGAAAAGTTGACAAACATTACCAAGGCTGGGCTGACTAACAGAGGGTCTTATTTGTCTTTCTATTATCACAAATTTTCAGCATTCAGTATCACTCTTCACAGAGAAATCCCTCAGAGATGTCCAAGATAATTATTTCCAAGGCTCTCATGTTTTCAGAACACAGAACAACTGACATGGTTCACCCATGGGACAATGTCAGGAAGTGAAGATTGGTCAGTCTCAAAGGTAGACTGTTTTTACATAATATGAATGTCTTCAAAAGCACACATCAGATGGGAAGAAAGTGTGACCAAAGAGAAAATTATGATTTTGGTAAGTCAGCTCTCTGATAGTCTTCTGTTAGGAACTTCTCCATTTATTCCTAGTTATCTCTTTTGACCAATACCCAATGTGTTTGGCTTAGAAGTGTTTTTTGTTCTGTGCCATCTTTGGAGGCCAGTTAATGTGATTTTTTCTCATTTCTCATATTTATATTCTATTTATGTATACATGAGAAGATCATACTTTATCACATAATCCAAAAGAGCTGTATCCCACTACCACTGTACAAATATTCCCTTCTACTTAACAAGACCAAGAATTTTTAAATAAGAGTGATTATATAATTTTCAGCATAGAAATAGTAAAGAAGACAACAAGTCAAATGAGAATAGAGGTAATGCATGGTCATTATAGAACCCAAATTAAAAATAAATTGTGAAAACAAAAGACTCCAGGAAGGAGGGCTAGCTGCTCCCAGAGATGAGCTCCTTAATTTGTTTTAAATCCTTTTGGGGTCTTTGATAGTGTTAAAGATTAGATAGTTATAGTTACAGTTTTCTTTAGTTATAGTAAAAAAGTAAATTAGGTACAGAGCTTTGTACTTATCAAGATAGAGTGATTTCTCCAAATTTGCCATTGAAAATGCAATTCTTACCTGATAACTGTTCTTATTGTATATAGTTTTGCTATGTTAAAGTTAAAAGCCTTTCTTTTAATTAAACAAAAGGGGGAAACTTGTGGAATATTTGTTTAGCTAGGCAAAGATGTGTTACATTTCCTTATGCTGCATTTGTTTTACTATGCAAAAATGTGTTTGTGTTAATCAAATAAAATTAATGTGTGCTCAGAAAAAAAATGCAGAGTGGTCAGCCCTGAATTAGGATTCAATAGTAAAATTGTACTAAACCAGTTATGTGTATATATTTGTGGATACAAAATATATACACGTATATTATATATACAATATATATAATGTGTGTGTGTGTAAGAATAATTACAAAAGAAAAATGCTATCAACTATAGTTTTGCTGCTGGAAGGGTTTAGGAAGGATAGTTGGGAGGAATTTGTAGGAGGAAGGGAGTGAAGAAAGTAATGCAATTATATTTCAATTAAAAGCATATTTAAAAATTAAATAGCACACTCCCCTGAAAACAAAACAAACAGACAGAAACACAATAGCAACCTATCGGCCACCAAAACAAACTTAGAAACTACTAAAACATCACTCTTTACATCATTATCATCGGTCACTTGATATCAATTAAGTTCTATAAATATGACTACATCCATAAATACTCACATAAATATAAGTATTGAGATTATTACAAAGTTCAGCACTTTGATAGAAGGGCAATCAGTATAGAAGTACATGACACCCAGAATAAAATAGATGGCACTACATTAAACATAAAAGTTGCAGTGACACTTTAATAGAATGTTGTATGTATTTCTATCTTCTAAAATACTGACAGATCTTGGGTAAGGTAAGGAATGGTGAAATGGTTGTTATGCTCCTTAAAGGAAATTAGCATGTCAAATATGTTATATATTTGCCTATCTCATATTTACCAAACAGGTATGCATGACCTTAGGAAAGCATATGTAGTAAGTATTTTGAAGAAAGTTTACACACATACATTTGTATTTCACATGAATTCCCTCAACTAAATGAATAACTATGTATGCATATGTCACACACATATGTTTTATATGTGTGTATGCTTACATATTTTAAACAAAGTGCTCATTTGAACAAAGAAATGATTTCCTATAAGCTTAAGATCCATATTGCTTAATAATACACTAGAAAATATGAAAAGGCAGTAAACACATGCATTATTGTTCTCTGGATACTGGAACAACTTTGTGATTCCTATGTGTTTATTTTCTTGTACATATTTACTACAGGTTACATTGAGTGTGTAATATTTTTAAGCCATTGTAGTATCTGGCACCATTGTTACTATTGGCTCATTCATGATAAAGAAATAAAATAACCTGAGTACCATTACTTAAAGAGTTTTGATTAATCATGGTCACCAGATCATATCATCAATCAGATATAAAATATTTTACATCCATAGATGTATGATGTAGTGGTGTCATAGATCTATAATATTAGAAGAGGCTTTTTAAAAGGCATTGCATGAAACTTGATTCTGCAATGTAGCAGCTGTCAAAAGTAGTCTGCCACAGCTCTGAAAAGAAATGAGCGTGCTCTCTTAGATAGTAATTCCTTTCATTTGTGGCGCAATTCTATCATGACTGCCTGAGCTTGTGCAGAACACATACAGTAACAGAGAACATATTAAAGAGGACAGGGGACACCAGGATGACTCAATATACAAAGAAAAAAGGCAACTAAGAAATGTTAAGAGTTGGAGAAATAGTCTTCTTCAGGGAGGAACATAAAAGTAGGTTATCTAATACCAAATAGTCACCTCTTAGAACTTATATATACAAGTAACTTTATTCAGATGAGCAGGTTATATTTAGGTATAAGCATATATTCATGAAGTAGTAACTACTTAGAAAAGAGGCTATAAATTTGAGAGAGCATGGAGTAGGTCTATTTTATTATTTATATGAAATAGAGGAAGGGGCGAATTATGTATCTGAACTATAATGTAAAAATCAAAGAAATAATTAAAATAAAACAAAACAAAAAGTTGTCCTGGAAATATACAGGTTGAGCAGAAGTGTCCATATGAAAAATAAAAATTATCAAGGCACACAAACTTTTTGCTGTCTATCAGTGTATTTTCTTTAGATATGTGCTAAATCTTTGTAAGGCACATTTGTTTACTTTTATGCTATCATGGTGCTATATCACATAGGTGTGTTGTTACCTGATGCCTTCAGAATTTCCTTGTTTTTATCCTTACACCACCTTTCTGAGTCCTCAGAAAACAGGACTGTCAAATAGTTCTGTTGACAACATCAGAGATCTCCTTGTTCACCTGCTGTATTCCTTCCACCTGGAGATTTCAAAGGATAAAGGATGATAAGACCCACGTGTTGAGAATCACTAAGTGTAGGAGAAAAGGGAGGAATATTATCCACCATTCAGTTTAGTATTATCGATTAGATCACTATAAGCATGCCATCTGTGATTTGACATGAAAACTGATGATCATTGAAAGTATAATGTCACACTCATCCAGGCTGACAAAGTACAGCTCTGCTTACACGTATACGTAATTTATTTTCTTCTTTAAAAAAAGCAAAGATAATTGGTAGATAAGTGGTATATTGAGAAAATATACTGTTGATTGATTTATGGTAGATGACTTATTCATATAATGACACTACAATATTTTAACATCTAATGATTCTCAACATCTGTTGATGCAACTTCAGATCAATATTTTTCTCTAGTGCTAAGAATGAACTAAACGTGACATTCAGAGCTCAGATTTGAATACATGTTGCCTTGTTCTTTGGAAATGCTACTCCTATGAATTTTGCAATAATATTTTGTTAAACAGTGTAGTTGAATAAATAAAGTCAAAGATATATACTTGTTAATAAATAACTATGGATCTGAGTCAATGTATTTATCTGATATTTGTGTATATCTTATATGGCATTCTGTATGCTTCTTCCTGGAGGTGCTGAGGTTTTTCAATTCTCTACTTCAGACTTTTAAGCTAAAATTTTATATTTATTTATGTCATAGATATTATTTTACTGACACTCAATGAAACCATTATACATGCTCCCAATAAGGGTAACATCCTGTCTGACCATTTGTACTGGCCTTCACTGCAATTTCTGTGTTTAAACCCCATTTCTGTTACAGAATATCATGCTTGCTAGTAATAAATTCTCACCACACACATTTATTTTTCACATTATTGTCCTGCTTTTTCGATGCTCTCCTGTAGAGGAATTTCCTGATAGAACATGTGGATAACAGTTGCACCTGATGCTTCTCTTCATGGGGAGTTGCTCTTGGCTCATTAGCTTTCACTTGACAGCAGGGTCACTCATATTTCCCTTACGTTTCTCTTTACATTATGTATTTCTATTTAAGTAAGCTTCAAACTGAATGTTAAGTTCTACGAAAGTATTAACCTTTCTATTATGACTAATTCTAAACCTTTCTTAACTTGTAGGTCACTTCTGAGGACTCACTGAATAAAATGGATGGGGGCAATCAGTCTGTGGTGTCAGAATTTATGCTTTTGGGACTTACCAACTCTAAGAATCTTCAGGTCATACTCTTTGTGATATTTTTCATACTTTATCTGCTCATCGTGTCTGGAAATATTGTCATCCTTGTTTTAATTACCACTGACCCCCATCTCCATTCTCCCATGTACTTCTTATTGGCCAACCTGTCCTTTATTGACATGTGTCTTTCCTCAAACACCACGCCTAAGATGATATCAGACTTTCTCAGAGAATACAAGACCATCTCCTTTGCAGGCTGCATGTTCCAGGTTTTCTTCTCCCATTGCATTGCTGGAGGAGAGATGGTTCTGTTGGTGGCAATGGCTTATGACCGCTATGTGGCCATCTGTAAACCACTCCATTATTTCACCATTATGAACCTGAAAAGATGCACAGCGTTGGTGTTGATTTCTTGGACCACTGGTTTTATACATGGTATGAGTTACTTGGCAGTGGTTGTGCAGATGCCTTTTTGTGGCCCCAAGGAAGTAGACAGTTTCTTTTGTGACATGCCATTGGTGATCAAGCTAGCCTGCATAGATTACCATGATTTAAACACTTTAATGAATGCTGAATGTGGGGTTGTAGCTGTAACCTGCTTCACTCTTTTGCTCATTTCCTACACATACATCCTAATCTCTGTTGGCCAGAGCTCTAAATCTGGTGCATCGAAGGCTCTGTCCACATGCAGTGCCCACATCATGGTGGTGATGATCTTCTTTCTTCCTTGCATCTTCATCTATGTGTGGCCCCTCAGTATTACCTGGTTGGACAAATTTCTTGCTGTGTTTTACTCTGTTTTTACACCTCTACTAAACCCAGCCATTTATACATTGAGAAATAAAGAGATAAAAAATGCTATGAAACGGTTCATAGGCAAATTCTTATGTCCCAAAATATATTCATAATATTCAGAAACATGTGCTAATTGCTTAACACCATGAATTTGTACAAAATATATTTAAAATCAACAAATATGGTTTATATTGAAAATGTATACCAACCTTTCAATATATATACAATTTAACATTTAAAAATATGACATTTATTCATCATCAGAAAAGTATAAATCTCTTATCTTAAATTCTAAATATGAACATTTTCCATACAGTAATGCCATCAAAGTATTCATAAATGTTTTTAATTGTTTTGCTTATCATTTTTATCTAACCCCACATATTTATCTTACAAATCAAATCTTAGTAAAAGTTACCTAAGTATAATTCTGTATAACACCACATGCCCATTAATTGTTTATCTAATTTCATCATTACAAAATTAGATGGTATAATTGAATTTTCCTAAAATGTTATTTCCTGTATATTTAATTACTTCTCCTTATCAGGAAAATATCAAAGAATATATGTGCTATTTTGTCTTCCTTATTAATAATCACATTATAGAATATAATAATGTGATTATTTTATGGCTAAAACCAAGAAAGTTTAGACTATTTAATAAGTTTCTTATTTCTACCTAAAGAAATGAAAGTGTCATTTATTAAATATTAACTATTTTTGTGGATGTTTTATGCACTGATATTTCAAGTTTTATGGTCATTTTTATCTTACTGATTTTCACCTTGGCCAATTTTTTTTAAAGGAAAAGGCTTTATTTATTTATTTTTTATTATTATTTTTAAAAACCTTGTTTTCACTCTGTTATAGACTTTAATATCCTTAGAAGGTGGTAGATTATTATAAATTTGTTTATGCTACATACTAAAATTGATTATTTTCTCATGCAATATATCCTTATTATTGTTTCCTCTCTCTTTACTCCTGGCTCCTCTCTTGCCTATCTGGATCCCCTCACTTTCTGTCTCTCATTAGAAAAGAGCTAGTTTTAAGTGACAAAAAATAAAATAAAAAAAATATATAACAGCCCGAATAGCAGACCGGGTTCCCTGCCCTTTTGGGAGTTCAAGGACCTCCCACCTCCTTCCAGGTCTAGTAAGGTGAACATCCAAACAGCCTAGGCTCCCATAAAGCCTTGGGGAGGGATATGGGAGGCGGTGGCGGGGAAGAGACAGAAATCTTTAATGAATAAATAAATAAATTAACTAAAAAAGAATAAAATATAACATAAAATGAAATTCATTACATTGAAATTGGACACTGCAAAACAACCGAATAAAAAGAGTCCTAAGAGGAGGCACTAGCATCGCAGAACCTCTCATTCACATACTCACGAGTCTCATAAAACTTCAAACCTGAAAGCTATAATATTTATATGCAGAGGACTTGGTGCAAAGTCATGAAGGCCCTTTGCTTGCTTGTTTAGTCTTTTTGAGTTCACATAAGTTTTGTCTCTATTGATTTAGAGGACCTTGTGCCTTTAGTGTCCTCCATTCCCTCTGGTTCTTACACTGTTTCTCCATTTATTTTTCCATAGTTTTTTGAACTCTGACTGAAAAGTTTTGATGGCGATATCTCATTTAGAGCTGTATGTTTCAAAATCTCTCTCTTTGCATAACATCTGATTGTGGGTTTCTGTACTTGGTTCCATCTACTGTGTGATGAAGCTTTTTCAATAATGTTTGAATAAGGCAATGATCTATGAGAATAGAGGAATATCATTAGGATTCAATCATTTTATCATTTTCTGAATCTGCACATTTTGTCTTTGTTTTGGAGTCTGGGCAACCTGGTCTCTGTTCTTTGTTGGTTATGAGTTTCATCTTGTGGGGAGAATTTTAAGTCAAATTTGATATTCATTGTTTATTCCCACAATTTTGTGGCACCAATGATTTAGCACAATTTGGCAACCAGTACAGAGTATAAATCAAAGATTTATTTTAAGAGATATGGTTTCACTGTATCTTTGGAGCCTGTGCTGGAACTAGTTCTTGTATACAAGACTGGCTTCAAACTCCTAGAGTTCCACCAGCCTTTACTTCCTGAAAGATGGGATTAAAGACATGCACCACCATGCCCAGCTACTTTATTGCTTTTTAAAAGGACTTTTCTATTCTTTTTCTTTTCTCTCCCAAGCCTACATATATTTTGTAAACACACTGAAAACTGTTTCAGAAGCTTTTTCTTCTGAATCTGTCTTTACTGTATATCTCTATGGTTTTCTTACTGTATAAGTCTTAACATGCTAAGTGATATGGTTAGAATTAAGGGTGAGGCTTTTTGGCTGGTTTTGCCCCATTCCTTAACTTATTGAGAGTATTCTTTACAATGAAGTTACTGGCAGTATCCCATCTAGCACAGTTGGTAGGATGTTGGACTCCTGCTTTCAGGGTCATTGGGTTCAATCCCCATGTTTGGCACAAAATTTAAGCATGATTAATAAAAGTGAGGAGACTGATATTGGTGTTCTACCTGAAGATCAGAAAAGCAAAGGAGAAAGCCGGGCGGTGGTGGCAGTGCATGCCTTTAATCCCAGCACTTGGGAGGCAGAGGCAGCTGGATCTCTGTGAGTTCGAGACCAGCCTGGTCTACAAGAGCTAGTTCCAGGACAGGCTCCAAAACCACAGAGAAATCCTGTCAAAAAAAAAAAAAAAAAAAAAAAAAAAAAAAAAAAAAAAAAAAAAAAAAAAAAAAAAAAAAAAAAAAAAAGAAAGAAAGAAAGAAAAGCAAAGGAGCCTGTCATTGGCTCTTTCGTCTATCTCAACCCCAAATTGGTGACCCTACCTCCAGGAAATGTCAGAATGAGACTGAAACTGAGAGCTATCTTCTCCTGTTTTATAGCCCTCTCTAGTTCTCAGAATAAGGGCATGCACCACTTCCACTTGGTTTCTACGGCAACTTGGTGTGGCTATTGGGATTATAGGTGTGTGTCATTGTGGCTACCATGGTTAAAGGTGTGTATTATTGCTGACTAGTCTGTAAGACTGGCCAGTGTGGCTGTTTTACTTTTCCAATCCTCATGCAAGATTTATTTATTAAAAACAAATGAAATGTCACTCACTACAAGTCTGATATCCTGAGAACAAACCCTAGAAAAATGGTAGAAGAACAGAATTAACAGAGAGAACCTCTGATCTGCATATGTGTGTGTATTTGTGCATATATATGTATGTATATATACATGTACACATATAAATGCACATATACTATAATACAAACTCACATGCATACATGAAAAAATAGTCAAATTATCATCGTAATGGAGCATAAACATTTTTTCCAGTCATTTTAAACTTAGAGATATCACATGCAAGTATGGAGTATAATGAAATACATCAGTTATGTGACAACAACTAGAGACAGATGTGCCATACATTAGGAAATTAGGTTCACAATATGGATTTTGTTCTAGTCAAATGTTATACTTTTAGCAAATGGTCTCATAGCTATGCTCTTTGAGTTACTTTGTTTATATTGATACAGTAACAGACTTGGCAGCAACATGCTTCTCCTTCATCCTCCTTGGCCAAGTGAATAATTTTGAAAAGTTGACTAACATTATCAATGCTGGGCTGACTAACAGAGGATCTGTCTTATTTGTCGTTCTATTTCCACAAATTTGTATCACTCAGTATCACTCTTCACAGTGAAATCCCCCAGAGATGTCCAAGATAATTATCTATAAGGTTCTCATGCTGTACAGAACACAGAACAACTGACATGGTTCACCCATGGGACAGTGTCAGGAAGTGAAGATTGGTCAGGCTCAAAGGAAGACAATTTTTACATAATATGAATGTCTTCAAAAGCACACATCAGATGGGAAGAAAGTGTGACCAAAGAGAAAATTGTGATTTTGGTAAGTCAGCTCTCTTATAGTCTTCTGTTAGGAAATTCTCCATCTAGTTCTAGTTATCTCCTTTGATGAACACTTAATGTGTTTACTGAGAACTGTTTTTTTTTGTTCTATGTCGTATTTGGAGGCCAGTTAATGTGTTTTTTTCATCTCTAATATTTCTCTCCTATTCATGTCTACATCAGATCATCATTCTATATCAGATAATCCATAATAGCTTTATCCAACTACCACTGTACGATTATTCCCTTCAAATTAACAACACCAAGCATTTTAAATTCAGAGTGAATATACAACTTTCAGCATAGAAATAGTAAATATAACAACAAATCAAATGAGAACAGAAGTAATACACAGTCATTATAGAACCCAAATTGAAAAAAAAAATTGTGAAAATTATTGACTCCAGGGAGAAGGAGTTTTAGCAGCTCCCGAGATGAACCCCTTAATTTGTTGTCAAATGTATAGTGGTCAGCCCTGGCTTAGGATGCAAAAATAAAATTGGACTGAACAGGTTATGAGCATATATTTATGCATAGAAATACATATGTGTGTGTGTAAGAATAATTACTGGAGAAAAATTCTATCACCTATAGTTTTGGTTCTAGAAGGGTTTAGGGAGGATAGTTGGGAGGAATTTGAGTGAAGAAAGGGAAGAAAAGAAATGATGCAATTGTATTTCAATTAAAAGCACATTTAAAATTTAAATAAACCTATACCTCCTAAAAACAAAACAAACAGACAGACAAAAACACAATAGCAACCTTTCTGCTAGCAAAACAAAGTTAGAAGCTACTAAAATATCATTCTTTAAATCATTATTATCTGTCACTTGATATCTATTAAGTTCTATAAATATCACTATATCCATAAATACTTAAATAAGTATAAATATTGTGACTATTGCAAAGTTTAGCACTTGAATAGAAGAGCAATCAATATAGAAAATTGTTACACATAGAAGAAAATAAATAACTTGTTTCTAGACTCTAAGAAAGATAATTAAGTTTGTCTCCCTTCATTAAAGATTGTTAATGTATAAGACAGCAATAGAATTGCCACTAAGTTAAACACAATAATTACAGTGACACGTCAATAGATTATTGTATGTCACTGTGTCTTCTAAAATACTGATAGGTCCTGGGCAAGAGCAGAGAATACTGAAATGGTTGTTATGTTCCTGAAAGGAAACATT